AAGGAGGGAAGTTGCCTTTCAGGGAGGGGGAGTTTGCGGATGTGCAAGTGCAGGTGCCTTTTGTGGCTCAGGGATGCCTACTGAAGAGTAGGAAGACACACATATCCAAATGCTGGGCTAGTTATAATGTCTAATTCTCTAATCACACAAGCACCCATGACACTGATGTGGTAACCTTCCTTGTTTCACACAGGAGAGCAGGGTGATGTGGTTGTTGTAGTCTATATGAAATGCCCAACATGCTATACCCAATAGGGTATTGGTTTGAGTTTTGGTCATTCTGAGAGCAAACCCATTGCAATTACAGGCAGTCTCCTCTGAGTTAGGAACATCCAAGTTAAGAGCATTCATATTTACGAACAAAGTGCCATACAACCTATAGATTTAAAAATTCAAGTTAAATGCAAAAGGTATGTAGCAATGAACGCAGAAAATTTTGGAGTTTTGAGACCCGCAGAAAATCATCATCACCACAGACAGAGAGGAGGTGGAAGGGGAAAAAGGGAGGGCCTCCTTGTCCCACCCTGCATAGAGGGAAATCCCTCCAGATTTCCTCTATGCAAGGAGGAGGTGCTGGTGAGTGAAAGGGAAGGCAGGGAATAAAAGCCTAAGAATGTAATAAATGAAGAGGAGGCCTGCTGGATCAGACCAAGGTCTGGGTGTGGGGAGGGGGGACAAGTAATACAAGACACATACAGTCAATAGTATTAAGAGTTAAGGTTTTGGAGGGGGTGACTAGAGATTTGTGTGGTTTGTCCACTTTCGCAGGGGTCCTGTATATGCTAAGACAAACATTTGGCTTACTCATGCTAAATACAACCTGTCAGTACATACATGATCCAGCTTACATATAATTTCAACTTAAAGACCTTCTCAGGAACGAAACTCATTCATTACACAGAGACTGGCTGTAATGTTATTTAGATTTGTTACAACTGACATTTCAGAACTTTCTGGGAAGTTGTCTTAAGGTGTTTTTCAATTTTTAAAGACTGAAACAAACAAAAGAACAAACAAATCTTCATCAGAATATTTGTTCACTCAAGATGAAATGATGGTGAAATTCAGCAAGGCTGAAGGAGCTGATGGCTGTCTTGCAGGGCCGCCTTAACAGCATTATGGGCCCCGGGCAAAGCAGTGTACTGGGGCCCCTACGACAATTACAACTACTGTTAATTTTGGAAGTTTTCCAATTTTCCAAGGGTTAACATACACAGATTAGTATGGGGCCCACGGGCAAGTGCCCATCAGGGCTATGTGTTAAGACGGCCCTGCTGTCATGGCTGGCCTTCCCTTATGGCACACAGGTCTCGGTTAGCCGGGACTCACGTATTTCACTGGGCCTTCCCGAAGTATGACTAAACCTGCCCGGCCTCTGTTCTCCCCAGGATTCTAGCTGTGGATTGAAGCACACCAAACTGGGTTTCTGGCAATCCCCATTGTAGCTGTTCAGAACATTTACCATGTATCTACTCTACTTCCTGTTTCAGCAGCCAGCCATTAGCAACATTGGCAGCCTGTGCAAGATGGACTCAGAGGAAGTGCTGAGGATGCAGTGCCATTGATTTAGCATTGTAATTACAGGTAGAGGTTTGGCAGGGAGCAGAGAGGAGATACCTTATCACTTATTCATGATGACAAGAGGCTTTTTGGTAACTAAAGTCTTGTCCATTCAAAGGGCAAAGGAGTTCTGTGAAACCAACAACCTCCACCCTGAGCAAGGCCTTATGGCTTTGGAATCAGAAAGCCACTTCTCCCACTCCTCATGTGCAGGGCTGGCTTTTAAACTGGATTGGGCCAAAGTCTGGTGGATAGTTGTCTAGGGTGCTGTGGGCAAAGGTCATCCTCTAAGGCAGGGGTTCCCAATCGGGGTGCTGGTACCCCCAGTGGGTATGAGATAGCATTTCAGGGGGTGTGACAAAGAGGAAGGCGGTGTTACACATCTTGACAAAATTGTGAATGAGAAGCAGGAACAAAGAAATCATTGGATTTTATGTTCACAATTGGGCTTGATTTTACTGTTTACAATTTTTTCTAATTGCTCAATTTATATTTGAATGTTTTGCAATGAGTTAGAAGCTCAATTTTTTACTTCAGTTTGTTCACCCATAGTATTGTATGTGGTTCAAAAGTTAGAAATTTGACTTCCATCTTCAAATGTGATATTGCTTTTGTAGGGGCTGCGAACATAAATCAAACATTTTCTAGAGCTGTGGGGCATAGAAAAGGTTGGGAACCACTGTGCTAAGGCGTTGCAAACCAGCAGAGTCACAAATATGTCAAGCAAGGGGGGAAATGTACTGCTATTGCTACTGCTTAGATGAAGGGATGCCAGGAACTCCTCAATGGTCTCAGATGAGTTTGGATTTCTATGACTTCAACCAGTGAAGTTGTTTTTTCTAAGTCTCATGGACTTTCAGGCTGGTGTTTCACTTTTGGGGGATTAACCCTTATGTAATTCAACACAGAACAACACAGGTAGAACACAAATAGAACAATTTAACACAGATAGAACATAAAAAGCTGGTTTCATTATGGGGCAGGCAACAGGAATGAAACACAATCTGCAGAACACAGGCAGAATGCATTTTACAAAGTCCCTACTCCCTTACTTAGATGTACTTGGTGTCAACAATGCAGTTTGAATACACATAGCCAGTTTGGCACCTGCATCAGGCCAAAATGATGGGCTGGGTGAGAGAGCTTAGAGATTGCAAATAATTTGCAGAGAATAACTAGGGGAACAGGCAGTGTGGGGGAAGATGTAAGGAACCTGTAATTGCAAAACTAGGGGTGAACTATGACAATCAGATTGGGCCGTGGTTTTTGTTGTTGTTTGTGAAGACAGTCAGATTGGGCCGTGGTAATCAAGATAAAGTCCCCATGCTGTGACTTGCTGTGAGACAACTGACCACTGGAATGCATTGCACATTCAGGTGAGATTGGGAAATATCTGGCACATGGATCATAGCAAGGAGGTTAAGAGGCTTAGTCTTGGCCCCACATCTCTAGCATTCAGAGCTTCACCCTGTACACATTTGTTTGGAAATAAGTCTCATCTAGTTCAGTGCAGTTTACTCTCAGGTAGGATGAAAATTGGTGTGTGCAGCTTCAAATAGCCACTCACTGTTTGCATTCAAACCATTAGTCCAGCCTTGTAAATGAGGCCACAAAAGTTAATAGCCACAAAACATTTTGCTAGCTTGCTAAGATTCTATGTTAGTCTGTTCCCATGCTGAGCATGGTATTAGGAGCTTTTCTTTCCCTATGGCTGGCATGGAGGCCAAATGACCTGGCAGAGACAAGACAGAATAAAACATTCTGAGCTGATTTCCTGCTTGCCCGTAGCAAGCAGGTGGGTTGCTAAATACGAATGATTTTGCTAGATCACCCTATGAGGATACATGAGTTCACACATCAAACTAGTTAGCTCAGTTTAACTAGCTAACCCGAAGAAGGTGAGGTTTTAATAACTTATTTATTTTACCTATACTGCCGATAAAAAGCAAAATGCAATAAAATAATATCAATTCTAAAATATTTCAAATGCTTAAAATGAGATTCATTTACACATTCATTCTTCGGAGCTGTCTCCTAAAATATGTGAGAGGGTTTCTAACCAGAACCATATAGTTCAGACATACAACACTAGTTCTGGCCCATTTGCACTGGCTCCTTGTATGCTTCTGAGCCCAATTCAAGATGCTGGTTTTAATCTATAAAGCCATACATGGCTTGGGACCACAATACTAGGGGCAATGGCTTTGCCAACCTCAATGTACCCCAACACTGTACTCAATGCGAGGCCTTCCTCTGAGTGCCATCCCCAAAGGAGGCTCAGTTGGTGGCAACAAGGAGTAAGTCCTACTTTGGCGTAGCCCCCAAATTATGGAGTGAACTCCTCACTGGGAGCCACCTGACACCAACTTTACTACATTTTCAGTGCCAGATTAAGACCTCCCTCTGTGCCAAGGCATTTATCAATAGCATGTGGGGATGGGCAGCATTGCCAATTGTTTCTTAGTTGGCATAGCAGTATGAACATGTAAGGTGTTAAATTTTGGTATTGATTTTTAATGCAATTTTATTAGGTTTTTTTCTGTTGTATTTTACTGTATATATTAACTGTTGTACACCACCCAGAGATCTTTGGCTATTGGGCAATATAGATTTAAAAAAACTAAATAAATGTGGTTTTGAGTTTGGGAAGTAAGAAATTACAAGTAAAACTGGTCACACAAGCAGCAGCATTCAGCCCCTCTTGTTGGACTAGGGCCTCTAATTGTCTGTAACAATGGGGCCTTGCTCACTGAGATGATATCAAGGTGACCTATCTACTCTAGAAAAGACTTGGCAAGGGGTTTTGAACACTCTTTGTTTTAGCTGCCGCTGGGGACTCTCAACAAATCCTGTCCAAAGTACACCAAAATGAGCTCCATCTCTGTTGTTCGAAATGTTACTGTTTGCCTGGAAGCAGAGATGTTAACCTATTTTTCAGACTTCGGTATTGGACAGAAGCATGTTGGGTCACAGGAAAATGAATTCCTACTAGCATGAAACCCTGAAGGCAATCAGCTGCCTGGGGTTCTGCTAGCCAAGTTGGTAAGTCACAGCCTCTGTTGGTTTGTGGCCAGCAAAGCCAGTGTCAAATCCAGGCATGGCCAGGCACCTGCAAAGGGCCCTCTGCCCAGCAGAGCTCCATTGACAACAGCCCCAGGAGCAGTTCCTCCTGCTTGCCATTGCAACCCCTCGCCTGGCTTTGCTGCTGCTGATGAGGAGGAGCTGCCACTGCTTACTTACTGGTCCTCTGCCTGTGAGCAAGCAAATGATGAGAAAGAGGGAGGGGAACAAGAGTAACTCATTATAATCATGGTAAGATGGCTGACCCACTGACAGCAGGGAAGAGCACTCTACACTTTTCAGAAGCGACCATTCACATGTGCCACAATCAAACCCTGTTCACCTGCCTAGGCTCATGTGTGTGTTCCTCATCTTTGCAGGTTTTTAGCACCTACTCCAATGAGGAATATGACCGGCGGAATGAAGATGTCGATCCTATGGCTGCCTCGGCAGAGTATGAACTTGAGAAGCGAGTGGAGAGGTTAGACCTGTTTCCTGTGGAACTGGAGAAAGGTAACTGGAAGTAAAGGAATATAGGTGGGGTGGAAAATTAGGGGTGATATTTCCATTTCTGGACTAGAGGAGGTGTGAGCTACTGCTTTGATCTGTACATCTGGGGTATTTATTTAGAAAGGGTGAGATTCCTCAGAGGGTGTTTTTTAAGCACCTAGGGAGACTGCCCATTCCCCTTCCTCAGAAGTTTTCAAGATGGGTGAACATCTGGCCTGCCACAGAAATAGAATATCTATTAGGTTCCAAGTAATTTCTGCCTTTGTAATCATTCTATCCACATGAATCAAGACAAAGAACATTGTGTGCGTCAGTAGGATTTATTCAGGGGGGTGTGCTCCTGTCCTGCTTGCACGGGATTTTAAGAACAGGAGTATGTTACTCCTGCTTTCCCTTAGAACACTTCTGGCCACTTATTTCCATCTGGTTGCTCATCTTTCCTTATTCCTTTTCTTGGCAGGGATAACAGCCCTCTTGAAGAAGTAAGCAAATGGGGAAGGGTAGCCAAGGGCCCTTCTTCCATCATGATCTTTCCCTGCCCCACCCCATGAAGCAGCCTAGATAACCTTTGGCTTACAGTGCCGATGAAGCATCGGACTGCATTTTACATGTCCTATCAGCTCTTTTTATGTTGATGTAATGGGTGGTGCTTGGGTCTTCTCCCCTGTGTTCAAGTCCATGTCCTGAATGAACTCTGGAGAAGAGAGATGTCACCATGTTCCAATACATGCAGTGAAATTTCCACCCTAGGTTTTTCCTGCCAGTAATTTATGACAGAATCAGCTCTTTGTTGGTTTTTCATAATTGAATCCCCAAACACTTATCTACTCACTTCTCTTTTTCTTTTCAGACACAGGCAGTCCTCTGCTGTTGCTCACCCACTTCACACATGGACACACTCCAGTCATTTCCCTACCATCTGTCCTCTCTATATTTATTGTTCCAATTGAAACAATCCTCACATGTTTTCAGGCGCTTTCCTTTTTCCCCTTTGGGACTGGAAATTGGAAACATACCTTCTCTTTCCTGGACCATGAGGGATTATCTGGATATTATTAGGAAATCTGTTAGAAAATTAGTTTCAGTATAATCTTGTATTCCAGATTCTCCAACAGTGGCATTTACACTAGAAATGGAGATTGTATCTCAACCAGGCCTGTAATTTACTGTGTTCTGTTTTTTTAACTGTTTTATCTATGAATGTTTTATTTATTGTGTATTTTAACATTTGATTCCAGAAGCCTCTTAAATAAATATTTTTATTTGTAAGTCTGTTAAATATAAATTTTAACTGGCATATAAATTGATTAAATAAATAAAGCCCTGGTGCCAAAATTTAAGAATGAAAATTATGATTAGATTCTGGTAACTTCCAGCCTCAGCACCTCATGCTGTGCATGTTGCACTATTTCCTTTCTCCCATGCAGATTCTGAGGGTCTTGGGATCAGCATTATCGGGATGGGAGCCGGTGCTGACATGGGCCTAGAAAAACTTGGCATCTTTGTCAAGACAGTGACAGAAGGAGGAGCAGCTCACAGGGATGGCAGGTTAGTCTGGCTGACATCAAACCTTTGCCAGTGCAAATGTGTCTCATATTATTAATTCTGATTCTTATTATGGTACATTTATGTCCCAACCTTTTTTCCTTTTGCAAAATATCCAAGGCTGCTTGCAAAGTTTCTTCCTCAATATTTATCTTCACAACAACAATCTCATGAGGTGGTTAGGCTGGTCCAAAGTCACCCTGAGAGTTTCATAGCTGAGCGGCAATTAGAACCTAGATCTTCCAGCACTTTAACCACCGCACCACATAGACTTTCCATTGTTATGGCCAATAGTTATGGCAAACTTTCTTTTACCAAAGGGAGAGCCAAGGACAGAGGAGCCTCTGCTGAATGAAGTGTGGCAAGAGGTGTTCCTCCTGTGGTTATCAGCTCACCTAGTTGATGAATCATAGACATTCTGTGCTATAGAGCGGAGGGACAGTGGCAATCAAACATAATTCCCTCTAATACTAAACTTGGGTGATGGAGCATGTATCAGTTTGGAGCTGGAACAGGAGACCCCCAAAAAAAAATACGAAGGTAGTTTCTGCGTATTGGGTGGGTAAGACTTCTGTGTAGGCACAAGTACAGATCTTGATAAATTAGAGGACAGTTAAAACAAATGGAGGAGATGCCTGGTAAGCTTCTAGGACCTTTGGAATATGGAGGGTACAGTGTTAAAGGCATAGCATTCTTCAGAAGGGAAGCTTCCAGATTACATTAGATACCCAAAGCCAGATTCCTGTCTTCACTGCTACTTTTTGTATGGGAAGAGAACATACACACTGGTGCCCAATCACAATTTTTCTAAAATCCTAGATTTCTTCATTTTTTAATAGAAAGCTCTCATTTCCACCTCAGGGGATAAAAAAAAGGAGGAGATAGAATAGGAAGCTGAACAGCTTGCCTGAATCTAACTATTAAGTTGAGGCATGAACAATTAAACAATCCATTTTTTTTCAACAAAAAGCACTGCGGGGAGAGGAATTAGACTTCCTTGAGCTTCTAAAAGTTTACAGGAACCTAGAGGTAAGCATTAGAGCCAGGGGGTGCAAACCATGAGGTTAAAAAACTCTCCTTGCACACCTTATATTCTCTCTGCCAACTTTATAGCAATGCAGTGGAGAGATTCAGGGCTGACAAAACACCCTGTTCCAAAGCCCCTTAGCCTGACATAGCACAGTGGGGATGGGAAGAAAGTAAAAAAAGAAGCAAACCCCAAAAAGCACAAAATTCCTGTTCCAGGCTGCCTGAAGCACTGAATAACACTATGTTTTTGGACTGATGCTTTACTGCAACATGTTGCTGCATACTAGCTGTTGAGATTTTAGAATACAGGCCAGACTATACTTCCCACCTTATTTATTTATTTATTTATTTATTAGATTTATATCCCACTTTAGCTCTTATAACAAACTCAAAGCAGCTTACTTCATTCTCCTCCTCCTGCTCTCAGTCTTGCCCTCACACCAGGAACCCTGTGAAGTAGGTTGGGCTGAGAGTCTGTGACTGCCTCAAAGTCACTCAGATGGCTCCATGGCCAAATGGGGACTAGAACCCAGATCCACACTCTTAACCGCTGCACCACACTGGCTCTCATGACACGGGCACACATGACAGCATAATGCAGATCCTGCTGAGAATACTGAAGGGTTCCCTTTAATAAGCAAAGAAGGCTAGAGGAGACCATTTGCCTTTTTTTTTCCTTTTTGGTGATACACAAGTGGTCCTTTGATTTTGCATTTTTCCCAGTTTAAATCCCCACAACCAGCCAATGAAAGCTATAGTGGGGAAAATGTATAGGATGAGGGCTTCCCCGTAAGTTTCCCTACCTGCAGGTATTAGGAGCTTCATGGAGCAGGAGAGGAGATTATTTGGATCACAGAGATAGCACCAGTACAAATCACATACACACATTCACCCCCCTCCCTGCACCCACATGGGGAAGGTACCATTTAGCTTGATCTTGATGTGTTAGACTGGGGGATAACATAAGGTTGGGATTTCCAGGTAATGTGGCACTTGGGACCAGAGAGGTCACCACATCCTCAATGTACCACCATAATTTCTAAATTAGAACAAGGGCTAACTTTTAACAGGGCCATTTGCACAGCATGTCCAGATCATGCAATCCCACCAGAGAGGTGTTCTTAGTGCTCTTCCCTCCCCTTGGAAGCTTACCAAAGTCCCTGCCTGAATGTATTTTAAAAACACAGAGCTTTTCTTTATTTCTTTAAGTACCCTAAATATTTTAAATACTGATGGGCATCATAATGTGCATCATGTTCTTGGCTACCAAAGCAAGAAAAGAAAAGAAGTCCAAGATCCACAACTGCAGTATTTTTAGTTTCACAGAATCTATAGCTGTGCCTGCAAATTAAGTAGAATTTAAAAGAAAATGATTTATTGTTCATTTATAGCATGTCAGATTCTAATACCAACAGAAAGGGGATAAGTATTTTTGTAATGTTCTCAATTGTGATAAATGATTCCTTCCCTATACAGAATATGTTTCAGTCATTTGCTTACCCTCTCAGATTCATTTAGAAGAAAATCAAGTCAGTCATTTCATATACAATATATATAGTAGTAGTAAAATCTTTATTGGGATAATTATATACAATATATGTGTACATTTGCACAGATAAATCTGTCATCAGGCTCCCTCTTAATTATGTCCTGCAGTATCACTGCCGTATGATGTTGACTTTGGATGCTCTAGGACTGACCTTTAAAGGACAATTTTTCTTTGTTTGAGCTGCCTTGGTTTTTAAACAAATTTTATAATTGTTTTTATATACAGTTTATTTAGTGTGAGACTTTCTGAATAAATACTGTAGAAGTTGGAATAAATATGTGTATAAAGTAATATTTGTTTTTTGAGGTATTTTTAGATATCCCAGATTTCCCAGATGGAGTAGGTCATCAATTTTAATAAATAAGCAACCAGTTATCTCTTTGCTGAACTGCTGGAATAGAATGTTTGAATGCTGCCTGTGTGTTTTTACAGAATTGAAATTTTCCAAAAGGAAGATGGGGGGAGAAGCAACATTGGTACGAAATGCCAGCAGGGCTGCCGCTTGCTGTCATGGCAACCAACATGGCTCCCTGCCCAGTACCAGGGGCACCAGAGAAAATAAACAGGGGCCTTCATGTGAGAAAGTTCAGTAGGATCACAAAAAATTGTGCTCCAGGCAAGATCATTGGTGTGTTCAGATGTTTGGCTTTTCCTCGGGTCAAATACTATATTGAAGCCACTTGCTTTCTTCTGAGACCAGCACCACTTAGACACCCTTTTCTACCTGTTCATTGGTTTTTCTTTTAAATCTTGGAGAAACCATATTTCTATTTTGGGAAGCAAGCATCCTCACAGTTTTTCCTCAATAATTGATCAAAAGGTGCCCCAGTAGCATTTAAGCCTTTGCTTTTTGGTCTGTAGCAACAAGACTATGAAAATACAAAAACATGTTCTTTTAGTGTCCCAAACCCACATGGAGATCCAGTGTGTGGTGTAGTAGATAGTTCGTTTGAATGAAAGAGATCAAAGTTCACTTAATGAAACTTATTGTTTAGCCCTAAGCAAGACAGCTTTCAGTCTGTCCTACTTTCAGATAAATAACATCATATGAAGCATTTTGCATACCAAAAAATGCTATAGAAATTATTGATAAAAATAACTGTAGTTTTGAGATTAATAAAAATAACACACCGACTTCCATTTCTCCATAAATGGGAATGTGTTTCCACCACTTTTCATGTTGTCAACTGTTTTTTTGTAATACAAGCAGAGCATAAGAGTGCTGTTTGATAATGCAGAATGTAGAAGTTGCCGTTGTTTGACTGTATGCACATATATATGTAACTGAGTGAGCAATCCAGTTCCAGATTTCTCTTTTCCTCCTTCCTCAGGATCCAGGTGAATGACCTCATCGTCGAGGTGGATGGCACCAGTTTGGTGGGCGTGACCCAAAGCTTTGCGGCCTCGGTACTGAGGAATACCAAGGGTAGAGTCCGGTAGGGGAGCTGTGTGCACCCAAGCTTTGCGACGGGACTGACACATGTTGTCTATCTGTCTGTCTGGAAAACAGATAAAGAGGAGCAGAAGCGTTGCCCTGTTGCATCATGGGAATTTTTTTCTGTGAAATCATTGTGCGTGTAAGATGGCAGCTGATAGGTTTTCCTGGCAGCTGAGATTTGGCCTCTTCTGTTTATATAGCAATGATCAGAGACAGGCATGCATTGCCTTAATGTGTTCGTTACATCACAGGAGAGCAAAGGAGCCATAATTTTAATGGTTCTCTGAAAATACTGGCTTCCCATTGTGTTAATAAAATACTGTATGTGTGAGGCAAGAGGAGTGGAAATGCACAGGCAAACGTACAAATTAAATAAAACAGGCCAGGTTAGAGGCTCCCTCTCAATGCAGTGCTTTCATGTAATCATGTCAAAAAAAGTACAAAAGAAACTAGTCAGTGATGACATCTCTTTTCCTGGCAGAGATTGCTTTTTGCTCTGGAAATGCTTCTGTACTTTTAAATGCCTTATGAATTTCTACCTGCAAACCACTGCTTTTTAATGGCACACAAATGTAGTTTGAATGCTCCCTTTTGTCATGGTGCTTTAAAACTAGAAAAATAGAATTTAAAAAAAGGGTCAGGACACCTGTGCCTTTAAATTTTATAACGGACACATGCAACCTTTCACCTCAGAGATAGGGTGAGAAAGGATGCACCTGTTGAATTTTTCCTGGCTATACCTTCTTTAGAAACACAGGAGGTTCTTCCAGTTGAAACCCAAAAGTGAATCCATCACAAAAGCATATTCCAATAAATTCTCAATAAAAAAATCTAATAGGGAACAGCTTTTAAATTTGCACCATAGCTTTGTCAGGATCTGTTTCTCATTTCATTTTCTGTCCAAGTATGTCCTTTTCTTTTTACTGCTCCTTCTAGTTCTAAGTGCTGAATTTAAATTTCTTTTCTGTCTCTTGTGTATACCTTATTTCCTTAAGGAAGAGTGAACGTTGCTTTAAATTGTGCCAGTTTGAAAGCATTACTTGGACTGAAAAGAGGAAGGATTTCAATACACTTTTTCTCTACAACTCTTATTTATCAATTATTTTTATTTTATTTTTTTACTTCATTTACACTGAATGATGGCTTTCAACCTCCCTATGCTTATCTCCTGTGCTCACCACCAGCTCCCAGTTGCTTTTGCAAACCCCAAACACAAGACACTGAATTAGTTGGATTTCAAAACACAGCAGTGCAACAAATATCTAACCCTCTTGTTTGAGATCTCTGTCTCTCTTTCTCTTTTAACAGTTTCTCCTATATATTTCCATTGCTTTTGCCCAGTACACAGAGCATTCAGACTGGAACTGGAAGAGAGGGCAGGGTGGAGCTTTTAGGGTTTTATATATCTCTTTGGGGAAAATAGTTCTTGAACAGGCATTTTGTTTCCAGTGAAATGGGCAGTCACTCTTTGCTGGCCTCATTGTCTTGTCAGCCTTGGCCCCATTTTATAGAAACTGGAAAGCTGTGCCTGTTACCCTCAGAATGAGCTGCACAGCATCATGGGAAAGTGTTCCGTGTCATGGTCATTTTATTGCCTTCCTAAGAAATGAATCAAAGGTGTTAGTAATAGAGGCAGGGGGTAGACACAGCTCTCCAGCCCAGCTGAATTTTCCTGTCAGCTGTGGTTCTGTTTTGTCCTTTTTCCGTACAGCTGCCTCTGTGGCCTTTTTTTGTTTTGTTTTGTTTTTAAATCTCACCAGAGGCATTTAGCCTGCCTTTTCCTGGCAGGATTAAGAATTACAGGATTGGCACTATCCCAGGATCCTTGTAGTAGTGGTTTTAAAAAGAATAGACTGTTTGAAATTACAAACAGTACAAGCAAGAAACAGTGTGAGCAAGCACTTTTGTAAGCAAGAAAAACACTCGCACTCTTGTGTGCATGCGCACACACATGCATGCACATGCATGCACACACAGAAGTTTCTTCAACAGGAAGGCCCACTCAATGTACAGGGTCCAATCTAGAACCTCAGTCATTCTTCTGAGACCTAAGTACTGCTGTGTTCCCAAGTGACAGGAACCTCAACTGTGTGAATGGGTTGCTAGGCAACTAGTTTCCTCCATGCTCCAAAGCAACCACTCTGCCTTCATAGATAGAAGGGCCCTATTAACCAATTAAAGCTTTAGGTAATTTATTTTACTCATGCCTTAACCCTTTTTTAATCACAACTTTTACCTGCTAAAAATTGACACTGTGCTATAGAAATTCTGGACATACCCACACAGAGCTATTCACCACAAACTACTGCCTAGTACGTAATTTCTGAAAATGGAACTAGTAGGACTCAGATGTGAATGGCAGTCCCTTCCCCTAAGCTAGAAACTTTGTCTCAATTTGCAGATGTGTCCATATCTGGGTACCATTACTCAGTTGTGAAGAAATCTCATGTTGTATATGTCATGATAAGAGGCACTAGCATTTTTTTCTCAAGTTCCAGGCTTGAAAATCCAGGGACAGATTAGGATGTGCAGATTCCAGATAAAACAAGTTCCCCGCTTTCCGGTTCTCCATACCAGGGATGCAAACCCATGATCTCCTGGATTTTAATTATTTTGTTTTTACAACTCACTTTTTCAGACTGAAAACATGAGCCGCATCTTGTGAAATATCAGGGCCCTAACAGATAAAACATAAAAGAACTATCTGCAGCTGTGGCAGTGAAACTTCTGTATTTATTAGAGCAGTGGCTCAAGGGTGGGGTGGTTGGTTAACCTTTTCCCTCTGTACCATATATCAGAATAAAATTATACACACCCAGTTTCTGTCAATCTCACTAGTGAGAGAAAACAGGCATACCACAGAGGTATCTGTATTTCTCCCTTACAGAGCTAATAGGCACTAAGATGGGGAAGATCCAGATCAGGGAAACAGTGCAGGGAAAAAAGGGTACCCCATCTTCAGAAACCTTTACCCCAATCAAATTTGGGGTTCCAGGCAGTGAATTCTAAGGTACAGTTAAAGCAGTGCTGTGATGCAAATCCCAGCAAATCAATAGGTATAAAATTAGACAGATAACTTGTGCAATCATTGACTAAAGCTAGACATTGCAGGCTAGAGGAAGCTCTACTTTTAGAGAGCAGCATATGTGATTTCTTGAACTGTGGCTGAACTGTTCAGGCACTATCTCAAAGCAGGCCAGTTGACGCATGGCAGATAACAACTAGAACAAAAGAGCAATTGACACATTCCTTCTCACCTCTGGAATAGCTCCCCTTCCTCCCTCATCTCTGAGGGACATTCCCTTCCGCCTTTGGAATATCTTTCTACTTTGATATGCAGGCAGGAAAAGTCACACCATTGCAACCTTTGCAGCCTATTAGAAAGTGTTAACATGATACATGTGAACTTTTAATGAACAATGCATAAAAGGGACACCCCAAGGACCACTCGGTGCGCACCCTACTAAAATAATTTGTTGGCAGCCATTTTGTTCTCCAGAATAAATCTTTAAAAATTTTCACCCAATGCATGTTATTGGGCTTATGCTCACCAGGACACGTCCCAGTCACTGGGCAACAGCAGGATCTGATTTCATATCCCACTCCTAGGCTCCATCACAATTGTTTTAGCCTTCAGAAGAGTAGGCTGAGAAAGGATTCCATTCAGGAACCATGATAACCCACATTCAAGGATTGTCACTGAAGCATGGGTTATTATATTGTCTGAACCTGGTCTTGCTAACAAAGCCTGCTTAGTTAACCCAGAACTACCCATGGTTTGTTGTTGAGTTGTGAACTATAGGCTGTTTGTGATTATCCTAGCATGACTCATTAGTGCAGTTGGGTTCAGACAACACAATAACCCATACTTCAGCAACAACCCAGTGCTCAATGATAGCCCATACTCAACCCTTGAGGGTAGCATGTTGTCTGAACTCAGCCAGTGGGTTGAGGGGCTTTCTGGTCCTCACTCTTTATGGCTCATTCAAGAATACCTGATTGTGTAAAATAAGCAGATCTGTAGAAATCAAGGTTCAGAAGCTGGCATGACTGAGATCCTTTTGAGTCCATTGCACATGCTGCCTGGCTACATGGTTCCTGATATTTACTCTAACACTCCCTTGAATTTCCCTTAGATTCCTCATTGGCAGGGAGAAGCCAGGGGAGCAGAGTGAGGTGGCGCAGCTCATCCAGCAAACACTGGAACAGGAGAGATGGCAGCGGGAAATGATGGAACAGAGGTATACTCAGTACACAGAGGAGGATGAAGAAGTAAGTGGAGTGAATTTATGGTTGTTTATGGGAAGAGGACACAGCCTGAGTTTCCTTCCCACCAATTTTCACTGCTTGAATGAAAGACAGGGCCAGAGGGAGTCTGGCTGCCCCCTTTATATTTGAGGCTTTTTTTTTACATGAAGCATTTATTGAGGTTCCTCACTCACCGTAGTTTGCAGGTGATTTACACTACAATACAATTTTTCCAGGGCCTTTCTCGTGCTTTGCAAGCATTTCCATGGCTTTTTTCCAATAGAGCAAAGTGTGGTATTATGTAAAAACAGGAATGAGAACTCTGGTTTTTTTGCAAGTCTGCTGTACCACAGTGCCATCTTATGGCTGTGTTTTGGAATTTATAGAAAGAGAAAGAAAAAACCCTGAACAAAGTATGTGTAAAGGAGCCAATCATAATCACTCAAAAAATTCAAAGCAGAAGCCTCAATAATGTGTTGGATTAAAATTCTCATGTAGAGAAGCCCTTTGTGATGGCTTTCTTTAGCTACTGCTCTGAGACCTTAATTTAGCTAAAATTGGGGAGAGTCAGAAAGTACTTCTGATGTAGTACCCATGTTCTTGGTGCTTGCCAGGCTCCCTGCCATTCCTAATTTTTAATTTTATTCGTTAAGATTGTTTTTAATTATTTTTAACTGGGAATCGTCCATACTGTAAAGTATGGGTCTGCCCTCCAGTACCATTTTGCTTTGAGTTCAAAAGAGTGGTCTTATGTTTTGGCACTCAGGTTCTACTTTTGCCTTGTACTTAGGTTTTTGGGGAATTTATTTTGTCTACAGCCTCACCGGTTTGCCTTTTAGGAAATAAGTGTTTTGTGACTGGTCATGCTGACCATGGCAGCCATTTGATGAATGGATGCAATTGTTATTTCTTATTAGGATACTGAATGTCAGATATATCTTGGTGCGGGGTTCATAGAGAAATGATGGGTGGCTTCTCTGTTTGGCTACTCCCAGAGGTTTAAAGCCACTAAGCCTATAGTTTTTGTGTTTGTCTTCACATATGATTTTGATACAAGGGGAGAGGAAGCAAAAGCAAGACAATTTCCTGTTTTCATATAGTTCAAGTAAATGTTGGAACTTGCTGCTTGAGGGAGATGTGCACATAGTGGAGATGGAATTAACTTCCCCGTTTTTCCTTTTTCAGTATTTCTCCAACTGTCTAAAACAGAAAGTGTAACAGTCTTGTACTTTTCTGTGTCTGGGCTTCACACATAGTTTTTATTGTATGTGTATGATTCCTCACTCATAGTAGTTCTAGGTGCTTTACATGAGGTCATCCTGCTCCCATGCTTTCCAACCATTTTTGTAGATTTTTCTAGAGTAAGAAAAGTATGGTATTATCTGAAAATGGTGGAATTAAATGCAATGAAAAGCTCATAAATTTTTACCACAGTGCCACCTTGTGCCTGTCTAATGGAAAATACAGAAAGGCAGAGAACAGGGGGGCACAGGTAAAAGATTTGAACTTAATCCCACAAACATGAGGGCAGAAGCCTTGATAAGGTGATGTATTAAAAGCCTCATGTGGAGAAGCCCTCTGTATCTTAGAGTACTTTCTGAATCCACTTTCCATTCTGTACAGCATCTAGTGTGCTGTTGGCATTAATACAAAAAAATGACACATGATAAAGCCTCTTGTTTTACAACTCTCAGACAGGTGAATATGCTACCGATGAAGATGAAGAAATGAGTCCCATGTTCCCCAGCAGTGAGATGGCCATTGAAGTCTTTGAGCTGGCTGAAAACGAAGACATGCTGTCTCCAGTGGAGATGGACCCTGAAAAGCTGGTGCATAAGTTTAAGGAGGTAAGTAAAGTACTCTAAGTGGGGTAGGAAAGCTTTGATCAGCTGGGGTTCCGACTAGAGTGATCTGTCTCTTTTTCTGCCCACTCCACTGGGCAGAGAGGAAGAGGGATGGTGAGAGTATGGGGAACCAAAGAGTGAAAGGGAAACAGGGACAAAAAGCGAGCACAAAAAAGGTGCCCCTGCCCTTCACCAGCATGCAGCCTCACCACATAAAAAATATTCTCCACTCCTCTCCTGAAGTGTGTATTGAGCCCCTTCACTGAAGAAAGCCCCACAGAGCCCCTTTCTTGTTGCTAAATAAACAACAGAAATGTTTGTACACAACATTCATACCCCCAGTTAAAGAAACCAAAATCTTACTCTTTAAATTAAAAAAAAAAATCAGCGCAGCAGAGAAATACATTATTTGTTGAGTGGCAGAGTAGCTATAGAAGCACTTTACACACATGGATTATGGAATTGCATTCACAGAAGAAGATGATACAGCAAAGAAGACAGTTGCATTTTCTAATATATGTTAAGTACATGCAAACTTAACATTCCCTGTGGCTGTACTAACACTGAGTCTGGATTTAAAAATAAAACTTGTCAAGAATCAGGGGGATGGAAGAAAAGGGGAGCAGCCAGTCCTTGAAGGGATAAAATACTAGCAACAGTTGGGCAGGATAGTAGCATGAAGTAGCAGCTAGCTGACCTCTTTTCCTTATTAGAGAAACAAGATGATCTAGGAAATACAGTAGGGCTGAAGTCTATAGGGTTAGTCAGTGCTATGGAGATGAGGATAAGCCTCAAACTCAGTTCAGTGCATGGGGAATGGCAGAGCTGATCTTCACTTTTCCATTCTTTCCACTTTGTTTTTTTGCTTGACAAAGATGTTTAGTCATCTAGCAGCAGTGTTTCAGAAAGGGAAGGAAGGAGACTAGAAACTGGAGTGATCTCATGATACTTTTTATCCTGGCCACCTCAGCCACCTGCCCCCCCCCCCAAAAAATCCTCTTTTCCTCCTCCCTGACTTTGGAGAGCAGTTACTAGTGTTCTTTCTGTGTTTGCTTAAGGGGGCAGGGAAGGGGAGGTTGTAGATCTGATTCTTAGCTTTGAGGTCAAAGTGCACTCTCCACCCTCAAAGCTGGGAATTCAAATTATCCTGTGGCCCTTCAGGCAATGGCTAGGGGCCATTGATTAGACCACTTAAGAAAATCAATACATAATTCTTTCAACTGACTAAAATGTATCTTTCATTTGTCAAACAATTAATTTCCACCATTAAAAAATATATAAATACTTATAAAAACAGAGGATGGCACATGTTAGCTTGGAAGAACCTTCATAATGGAAGGAATAATTACTGATGTGGCAGTTGTGGTAACAAGCACATGCACCATCTAAAAGCAAAGTAATTATGTTTCACCACCCCATTGCACCCTACCCTAGCTCACCCAAAACAATTGTTTTAGTCATATGCTCATTTACAGAGATTTAACCTATTCATTGATAATTAATATGCTGAACCTGACTATGATTTCTTCAATCAGTTGCCAGCCTCAGTAAGGTGAATGCTGTCATTACAGCCTTTAAGTCTCTAGGTTCTGGGGATTCTTCTTTCAGGGCCTAACTAGACAAGATGATAGGGATTCATGATGAGATCTCCTATCTTTTTACAGTGTAGGTAATAGCCAGATTTGGATTTTGTTCCGAATGGGATGAAAGAACTGGGGATATAAGGGGCTAAACCTCTCTCTGCATGTAATTTTCTTAATGAAAATGGCTCCCACCCAAATCTCTGCTTTGCCCCATATTAAGGAATATTGCATACATAAGTTTCCCCTAGTGTTAATTGTTGATACATAGATTGATTTAGAGCAACACCAAAAAGACTCCCAGTAACCCAGTTTGCACAACAGGGCAGGTTTCCTTGGGTTAATTAATGCATGATCAGCTCCAGTGTGGCCACTCTACTGAATATGCAAACTCTGATCAAGATGATCAGAAAATGTAGCTTGCCATGCAGACCCAGCCATCATGGTTTAACTGAAGATTAAACAATCCACACATAACCCAATTACTAAGAGTTGGGTTAAGCTAGGTGTTAAGTGAGAGTTAAGTGTGGGTAATCCTTAATTAACTCATGATGACTGGTTCACATAATATACTGCAAACCCTGATCAGAGATTGTGTATTCAAAATGGTGGCCAGGACTAATTTTAAGCCATGGACCAGAGTATTTTAGAAAGATCATTTATAAGGCATTCCGTGCCCTTAAACTTACTAAATGAAAGGCACAATACATAAGGAAAAGGGACTGGGAAGCAGGGCAAATAAGTTAACAAAGAAAACAAAAAGGACTGAGTAAGAGTTTAAACATCCCTCCAGCAATTTTGATCTGGATCACATACACACCTCTCCTATCTACTATTTTATAATATCTAAAAAGATATTTAGATCCAATCATGGATCTTTGTAGTCTCTTTTATTTAGACCTGCAAGTATTTGCAATTTCTTCCCTGATCACCAGGCTGTCACAGTCACTTGAGGGAAAGGAAATCCTTGCCTGCTTCTTGGGGTTTAAAATCGCCCCCGTCACAGAAATAAGAAATCAAGTATATGGCAAGAAGACAAGCAAGTTTGTGAAGATGGAAAGGTGCAGTCAGTAGACTTGCTGATGGCAAGATAGTGGTATGGGAAGGAAAATAGACAAAAAATGAGTGAGGAGATGGGTCTGGAGGGAAATAATTCAAGCCCAGCTGCCACAGCACACCTTGTGTCTGTATGTAGTTGCAAGAAACCAGTGTCTGTGTGAGAGCATGTGTGCTTTGAATAGGGGTGTGCTAAAACAGGGAAATCTGGCTTGTTTGAGCTCAATGTATTTCCTGCCTCTTTCTGATCTGATGGTTGAAAATGGGCTGAGTTGAGGTTCTTGTCCCAGACTTCTGTCTCTGAGGTGGACCACAATGTGCACATAATTTTTCAGCTGCTAATGACATTTGCTCAAATAAGCACCTGAAAACCACAACTCTAGTACAACTCACACAAAATTGGCCAATTCAGCCAAATTGTAATTTATGCAAATTGTCTGATTCTGCTCAAATCATGCTAGTGCCACATGATTTTGGGATACTTGCTTGCATGAATTTCATTAGCAGTTTAAATAATGTGCAAGTTGTGGTCTTTCTTAGAGATGGAAGTCCATAAGAAGGCTTAACAAGCGGCTCAGTGAACAGGCGCTAGTGTAGGACCAGAATATGGGAGGTCAAATTATTAACATCTCTTAGATTTCCACCCCCTCCCCTTTGGATTTCTCCTGCATTTTGACATTCTTGGCTCAGGTTGTGTCTATCTGCTGCCCCCTGGTGGTAGATGCCGCTTCATCGAAGTACAGAATTGAGGGACCTGGTTTGCTCTGCTTTTAACTCAAATGCACAAATAGTGATGCCTGAACTATTGCTGTGCAATGCAAGCCTTCTAAAATCTGCACTCTTTTTGCTCACTCAGGGTTGCCTCACACTAAGCTGGAGAATGTTGACATGCATACCAGCTTCTGCCCCATAGCTGTAAAGCAGTTAGCTATTATGTTCCCCCACCACAGAAATGTTCTACAAGGCACTGCCGCTGGCCCCTGGCCTCTCCTACATGAGCTTCTGCACACGTGGTAATTAAGAAAAGAGAAAGAAAGGAGCGCATGACAGGCTGGAAAGCACTAAATATTTAATGTGTCACTGCTTTTGCTGTAATGCATGAAGCGGCATGAAGCGGCCTCTAGTTGACCCTGGAATGTGTGTCAGGAAACTTTCAGTTAAGTGTCCAGAGTCAAACCAGCTTAGTGCTGGTATACTAAACTGATATAAGATATTGGTGCACTGGGCGCAGTATATTAGCATTTGAGAGAGGGATGGCTTGTGTAAGTGAAGGCCTTAGGGGAAAAAGTAGAGGACAGCAGACTCTGCTCAGACTTTGCTCTGTCTGTCTGTCTGTCTGTCCTGTCTATCTGGAATATTTAGGTACTGCCTTAGCTGCTAAAAAAAACTCCATCAAGGCAATGTATAATAATGTATACAAGATCTTGAAAGAAGACAAGAGCAGTAAAGAATTACGACATTGAAGCTGTACATTTTAAAAGGCTAACTCGAAGCAATGTATCTTAACAGTCTTTCAAAATCAAGAAAGTGGGGATCAAGCATAGTTTTTAAAGAAGCTTTTTCCATAATTTGGAAGCAACATAGGAGAAAGCTCTTTTACACATGCCTGAGAAACGGCCCCTGCTGAAATAGTGCCTTCAAGAGGGCCTTCTGTGGAAAGCTTAATACCTGCGCGAGCTCAGAGTGAAGCAGGCAGTTTCTTGGCATTAAGAGCTTTAAGGTTTAAAACCAACATTTTGATTTGTGCCCAGAAAGCAATTGGTGGCCTGTGCGGGTCTTTCAAGATTAGTATAATATGGCCCTTATGCCTTGCATTGATTAGAAGCCTAGCTGCCGCATTTTACATTATTTTGTGGGTTGTGAAAGAACAGAATGCTCAGTCCACAGTGAGTGCAGAAGACATATTGTGTTTAACAGCAGCATGGCTCTTTTTCTCTTTCTCTCTCTCCCTCCTTCCCCTGCACCCTTGACAGCATTAACAACACCCCACATTTGGACAGCACGGTGTGTGTGTGTGTGTGTGTGTGTGTGTGTGTGTGTGTGAGAGAGAGAGAGAGAGAGAGAGAGAGAGAGAGAG